GATGGATGGATGGATGGATGGATGGACATCCATCCATCTGAAAAAAGTAAAGTATCGAACATTGCAGTTTCCCTTCGTGAGCAGGGCAGACATCCATCTGAAATGTGCTCTACAAATAAACTTAAACTGGAACTTGATGGGCTGTGATGTCCTGATCGGGGCTGGCCCGTGTGTGTCGGTTTCTCAGCTCAGCAGGGTGAAGGCGGAGGCTCGCCTGGCTCTGCTGGCCCTCAGCGTCACGGGGACCCAACAGTGGCTCCACAATGCCATGAACCAGGCGGAGGAGGAGCTGGAGACAGAGCGGCATCTCAGCGAGCAGAGGAGGTCCACAGAGGAGTTTTCAGTAAGGTCACACACACACGAACACGCACACCATCTCCAGGAGGCTCAGTTTGTTTCTGCACCAGAAAAGGGGCAGTATTATGTAAATTCGACTCTTTTGAGCTTTACATCATGTAAAACTTTTATCCCTTCATCAGGTGTTGCTTTGATTATTTCATGCATGTTTGATCAATTATCTAATCTCCATGGCAACCATTCAACTGTGCAAAAGGCCTGGATAGACCTAGCTCCACCTTTCGAATTGTAGCTCCTCCTTTCTCAGTGCAACGCTGGTAAAAACATTAAACGGCTAATGACGGAGTCATGTTGAGATGACTTCCTGAGGTTTATGGAAGAGCAGGAGCTTCTTAAAGAGACAGAGGCCCAACTTCAAAACATTTAATTATAAAGCCAAATTTCTTTTAAGTCATATATGGTATACATACTGTGAAAAAGGCTGCTCAAGTGCTGAGGCCCTTTTAAGGGGTCGGAGCTTAGAGCACCTGTGGATCAGCACGCATATTAAAAAAGGGAGAGAAGAAAAGGAAGGAGCCGAGAGTTACCGATCACATTTGTGTAGTTTGAGTTACCGTTTGCAGTTTGTTGTTACCTTTATTTTCGATATGTGTGCATGGAATACAAGTAAGTGATGTTAGAAAGTGAAGAATATTGTTTATGCATCTGAATATTTAAGTTTTAGCGTTAATTGATTGCAAGCTTCATTCACGTGCGCACTTGAGCTACACAACGTGGTTTTTTGTGTTGTTTATTTAGAACAGAATATTTGTGTAACCTTTATTAGTGTAGTTAGTTAAGTAAGTGTGTTATTATTTCAGTCATTTATTCATCAGACACTGATGCTGCATTATTTATATTTTGTAGAACCACACCGTTACGCCGAAATAAAGACTGAACAGCAAGTGCAGGTTGGACCAACTGATGTGCGACTCTGGTTTCTTTGGGGTTCTGACCGGACTCACCACAGTGATTTAGCATTACCATCAGCAAGTTACAGTTTCCTAACTTTTACATACCATTTTTATAACAACTGAAGGTAACATAGTTACTTGATTGTGCTATAAAATGGCACTATGAGCCTGGAAAATATATAATACCGCCCCTTTGACATAGACTCCCTCAGTAAATATGTTAATCTGTTTTAAGAACATCTGTGAACTGGTTGAAAGGTTCCAGCTTTTTATTCTTTGAGACTTCTTGCATTACATCAGAGCTTTTAAAGCCCCCGTTCCTCCTTTAAATCTCTGCGGTAATTACTGTTAAGATCCCTAAATCAGCTGAACTTTCCAACTTTCTCTTTTTCCCGTGAAGAGGGAGAGAAAGTCAGAGTATGTCTCTTCCATGTATGAAGAGATATCACCTTAAATGACCACCAGCATGTGGTCGTTATGGTCAGATTAAAGACTGGAAACGTACACATAGCATGTTCTAAGGGTTTTGGCCCAACACTGGATTTCATTGTTTAAGCTCTGCTAATGCCCTGTTTCCCCTGATATACTTTACTTTTCCAAAGTTAAAGGAAAAGAAAATCCATTAGTCAGTATTTAAGTAAAAGCAATCTTATTGTTGATTAATGTAGCAATAGAAGGAGACGAAGGGAATTCCTCATTGTCCTGATGTAAAATACACTTTAATGAGTTTTTATTATAGTTTTATTGTGCATTTTCGGTCTGTATTTTAATATTCTTTTTTTTACCTTGTTATATTTTCTTAAACTGTCAAGAATTTTACTATTATTTTCAAGATTTTTACTATTATAGTGCATTTTCTTTGGCTTGTGTTCATATTTCTGTCACCCAGACCGGCCGTGACTGGACAGATTCTGGTTCCCTCTCAAACGTTGCCCCATCGGTAGACGCTTGGTGTTTTTGTCCCAAATAGTCTAAAGCAGGGATTTTTAAAAAGATTTTAGCAGCTTCCATCATAGCTTCAGTTTCAGCATAATGTCTCAGGCATGTTGGTGAAAATACATAACCATAATTGTGTCTTTTTTCAGCATTGTTCCTTCAGTTTCACAAATTTATCCCTGTCCTTTCACAGTTCTCTGTTCCTGCTCGCTTCTAGAATTTCTTGGGTCTCTGTTTGATGATGCCACACATAGAGCCAATCAGAGCAGATGTCTTTTACCCTTAAACCCATCAATGCAGAGGCAGCAGAATGTCCACAGAGTGGACCTGACCCTCCTCTCTCTGATCAACTGTGTTCCTGTTTTTTAGGAGGATGAGTTTGAGCTGACTGACTTTGAGGACTATGACGATGAGAATGGAGACATATTTGCAGACCCAGTTTCGGCCTCTAGAGTGTGTGTGTATCCTGCAGCCTGCAGAGTTGTCTACAGCTATCAGGTGGGTAGCACCAGACCAGCACTGACCACACTTTAACGGAGGTATTTCACACAGATGTTACTGCAAAACGTAAAAGCTTTACATCTTATTGTAAGATATGTAAATGTCTAACCAGGACAGCTGCTGCTACAGAACTGTACTTTAAAAAAAAATTATGTTTGAAAAAAATCAACTTAATATATTGTGCTGTTCTTACTGATACTAAGAAATCATCTATCTGTAAATGCTTCAACTCATTTAACAGATCCGAAATCTGTTATTAAATGTTTTTAGCTCATTATTTATTTATTTTTTTTAATTGAATTGTTTTTCTTTTAAAACAAACATCGGACTGGACATAATGTACACAAGACAAACTGGGACAGGAATATATCCGCATAATCTGCAGAGATTCTTGGTTTGGTGTAGTGAAGTTATGCTTTTCTCAAAAAAAAAACAAAATGTTGCCAACCGGTTTTTCTCATGAAGGCGAGCCAATCAGATGAGCTGTCAGTCACAGAGGGGGAGGAGCTTCATGTGGTTGAAGACGGAGATGTGGAGGACTGGCTGAAGGTAGCAAAAACAGCAATTTATACATTCATATCAATATAATATAGAAAAAAGCTGAGCTGCGGGCTATGAATGCACACATCTGCTAATGTCACTTCCCAGGTGTGTAACTCCTGTGGCCAGGTGGGGTATGTTCCTGAGCGCTATGTGCAGTTCCAGTGTCTACCAGCAGAGTACGCTGCTCAGCTGGACAGCTCCTTCAGCTCCAGCTCCTCCTCAGGGATAAAAGAGAAGGCCACCGGTCAGTAAAGTGATACTGCTGTAGGGATGCTTTATGGTTGGGCTAGTGTTGGCATGTCACAGTCATAAAAACATAATTAATTTCACAACTTTACTGGTGACGGAAGTAAAAATCTTAAATATTTCTTTACTTTTATTATTGAAACATACAGAAAAACTACTGAAGTGGGATTCTTGTGTAACATTACAACCTTAGTTACTGCTATTAATGTAACATTAACATTTGAGAGCAAACTGTCAAAAAAAAAGGACGCCCCTTCATCCACTTCTATCAGTTTTGTTTCAACCAAGACTTTGTTGTCCAGTTAAAATTACGCTGCACAGTAACACACTGACAGTCTGATGCTGTTCCAATCTGCTGTGTGATTTTCCTGATAGTTCGCTCTGAGTTGGGTGAAGGCCATGAGCCAAATGTTATGAGGATCAGCTTTTAAATTGCAATTTACAGAATATTCAAATAGAAAAGTTACTTGTTATGGATTGGCGTTTGTAAAGTGTGTAAATTGATCATGTTCTAGTCCGCTACATTGAACAACATGGGACTAAAGTCTGTTTCTATCTGTTCTAGGTGTTGTCAAAGCTCTGTACTCCTACCAAGCTCAAAGTGCAGAAGAGCTTTCCTTCCAGGAGGGAGCGCTAATTCGTCTCATACGCTGTCTACACGGAGAGGTGAGTAAGTGGGAAATGAATGTTGTTTTAACTCATATGACCCAGTTTTATTCAGAGTTGTTGTAGATGCTGATGGCTGTGACCAGGAAGGATCTCCTGTAGTGGTCCACGTTGCAGTAGCTCTGAAGGAGCCTCTGAATGAAATCATTCTTACGTGTGTCTTTTTAGGTAGATGATGGTTTTTGGGAAGGAGAACTAGATGGGCGAATCGGTGTTTTCCCGTCATTGCTGGTGGAGCTCCTGCATGAAGAAGAAGAGGAGGAGGAGAAAGAGGTGAGCAGGAGCCCTGCAGGATTTTGATGGAAAAATGGCTCCAGAATTCTCCTTTTTCTCATGTTTTTTTTTCTGTCTAGCCTCTCCATACTGCAGCTATATGTCCCTGCTCACCCCCCATCCCAATTCCCTCAGCTTCTGCTGGTGACTGTGCAAACATTACTACTACTCCTCCTGCTGGTGTGGAGGACAAACAGCAGTCTGTTCACATAGAAGAGTCAAGGGTTGCTGGTAAGATGCAGTGTTTCCTCTGGAACATGACATATTAGCAGTGCCATCTAAATCCATTGTGTGTCTTTTGGCACAACAGAGGCTGACACTAGAGGCCCCACTCCTCTAGAGTTCCCCAGCGATCGATTAAGACCAGTATGTGTCATCTTACACCTACCTTAGCAATAAGACAATTATATATTCAAGTTTGAGCTGACAGAAGATGTGAGGACCAATACTTTGACTGTCCTTGTGTGGTTTCAGTGTCGGGCTCCCCCTCCTCCGCCAACGAGCTCCATGTGGGATGGTTGAGCTACACAGGAAATAGTGACTTATTTTGAGCCAATCACCTCATGCCTCAGCAGACACTAGTGGTGTTCTCACTGGCAAAATTGAGAATGCAACAGACACTACATAGGTTTCTCTGCAATGGACCTGTTGAAAAGTCAGTATATGCACACCCTTTAACAGGTGAAATATTAGAAGGATCAGTGTTTAAAATACAGTTAACGGAATATCCAAATAGAAAAGTTAATATTTATGGAGTGGCGTTTGTAAAGTTACACAGTCAAAGAACAATAGCAATAATTTGGATTGGTTAGTACGGTGGCCGACAGGTGCAAATGCGCAGCAACAGAGAAAACATGCAAAAAAATAGAGACGCAAACATATGAAATGCAGCAAGCAAGAAGAGATGACGCAAAGAAAAACCAAATAAAATGCAGCAAACAAAAAAAGAGACGCAAACAAAAAAAGAGATGCAAACAAAAAGCAAATGCAGCAAACATAAAAAAGAGACACAAATAAAAGTCCCTCCTGCTTTGCTTGACCAAAACAGCAGAAGATGCCTCAGCACTGCGGGATATTGTTGATCAGATCGACGGACTATTGACATGAGGGCTCGACAGACAACTTTTCGCAAGTAAGATGGACATAATGTGTATATTTTGTGATTAGAATATTACTATACTGTATTTATGTCCACCGGCGAAATACCAGCTAATGCTAGCTGGTATAGCGCTATAGTGCTTGGTGTTAAGCCCCCGCTCTGAAAGCTAACCGAGATTATCTTAAAAAGTTTATTATCTAACATTGACTTAGATTATCTGATACAAGACCCTACTATAGAAATGAAACAATATAATATATATTATA